CTTTTCTGAAAACGGTCACGCCTCAGAAATGTCAGGGTACCACTATCTCTCCGCGGCTATGAACTTTGGGCTATACATATGTTACGCTATTGAAGTCATCGTACTGCGCGGCGCGGAGGCGCGGCATGGCGCGGCCGCGGCGCGGCGGGTCGCTCGTAGGAGGCAGACGGGATGGAATTTTCCTAGGAATTGGTTCCGTGCCCTTTATCTCGTTCGCTTCAACTAATCGAATGTGACACTGCCAGTCAGTAGGTATAATCGATAACGGAATAGTGCATGGTACTATTGCCGGAATTATTGCGGAGCGCAAAATAAAGGCGCGCTTGTTTAATAATAGCTAATCGAGCGACCGATTTTAGATTCCATTCATTTCTACGAGAAATTGATCGACCGAACGGCGGGCTCATTAAATTGTCCGTAGCTATGATTATACGGTGAACCGATACGAGTCTGTGTGTCTGTTATTTTCAATCTTTTGCAATCAAAGAAATATCGCCACCGATATTTAATGTTTTACATCATCCTTTACATCGTTGACATTTCGATACATTTTATTTTCGTTCGGAAGCCCCTAAATAAGATATACAGTTACCACCCTATTGCAGAAGGCCACACAGAGAAAGTAAATTAAGCCCCGTGACTCGACTGCGGCTTACGCACGTTATACTGTTGTACACGCATTTGCTGACATTACGGAGAATTTACGGGGGCCGGACTTCCGATCCCGATGAAGTTAACGCTACATTAACGGCGGTGCACGATCCATATCGTGTTGCGTAACTAAACAAACACCCACACGATAACAATATTAAAAAAGACTGAATCCCACCAGCCAAGTTACGATTTCATTACCCTTCACGATCATTCTGCAATCCCGCGATTATTGCAGATTTGCAGTATTTTTTCCTTCACGATTATGGGAAACGTCGTTTTGCGAAATGGTGCATAATACCAACGTAGGCATAATCATAATAAAAAAACGACTATTTGAAGATTCGAAATATACAATTTAACTCGAATTTTAATATTTTTGCAAAATTATGCAGAGAGAAAGGTCAAAGAACAATCCAATTGCGAAATGACTGAAATAGAAAGCCTGTTAGAGTTAACAAACAACATTCGACTTTATACGCGCCGTCATGACTCTATACCAACGTTTAGAAACTTCCGCCCGTAGACACAAGTATGCTATTTACTTTGCGGATACTCAGAATAGCGCGACTATAATCCCCTCAAGTGTGATAGCGGCACGCACGCGGGAAAGGGATTGACGAGCGACGGTCGTCGCAAAGTATCGAGAGGGAACACATTGATCGATCACTTCTTACGTGCTTTACCGCGATACGGCGGTTACCGGGACGGTGGTGTCGGCAGCAGCCGTAACCTTGCTAAATTATTGAACGACCATGCTAGACGCCGTCCATGCCCGCAGTCATGGGCAATTCCGCGGGATATACATTTCCGGTCGGCATAAAATCGACGTGCCAGAAATCGTAGCGATGGATTTCGATGGCGAGACGTCGGCGCCAGATTTGAAGCATTATACACAAGTACGGGTAGTAAAAGGCAGGCGCAAGGAAAAGGAGCAGCAGAATAAAAGAAAGGAGACAGCAGGTGTTCGCGTTCTCAAGTTCCTTCGAACTTTTTTTTTCAAGACGGATATAGCGAAAAATATATTCGTCTGTTAGATGCATTTAATTGTCAGATAAAAATAATTAAGATTTAGAATCGTTTCTGTCTGTTCAAAAGTTAAAGAAATAAATCTCGGATTTAGATCGAGTGTGGAACTCTTCCCGCTTCTCCGGACAATAATGCAAACGGGTCAAACGTATAAAATTGTTGAGAATTAAGGCGCGTCAGAGAGAAGTTCATTGAATCGCTTGGCGGACGATCGAGGTGCCTGCGTTTAAATAAATTGACATTTTCCGATTCACGTGCGCGCATAGACGAGGCAAGATAGTAGCTACTTCCGTATAATAGCGGGAGAGGATGGAGTGGACGAGAAAGAGGGGAATCAATTTAAAAGCCGTGACTCACACTGGGACACGATGACGTCGTTAGCGTGCGGCCTCTCTCTGTCGCCTCTCTAAAAAATGAGCGGTAAAAAGCAGGTGACGGAGAAAGGGGAAGGAGGAGAGAAAGGGAGTAATCCGATAATATCTCTCTTTAGCGACGCTCGGGACAAATGCATACGCGGTGATAAGGAAGAGGGAAGTGAGAGAGATAGAGAGAGAAGATTCCCTCTCTCGGACGGGGTCGACAAGCCTCGAGTATTATTCCTGGTATTCGCGTACGATACTCATGACGTATGACGATGAAAGGGTTGCGCGAAGGAGGGCACGCAGAGAGCAAAGGGCGCGTGCACACGTCGGTGCACAGTAACCCCTTTCATCATTGTTTGTACGGGACTCTCGTCTGTACTTGTGCGCGAGAAACAGAGAGAGAGAGAGAGAGAGAGAGAGAGAGAGAGAGAGACGCTTCACATACAAACGATTCCGGTTTACCGAATGCAAAGAGGGGGAGGAAAAAAAGATACGAGAGAAAGACGCGATGAGACTGGGTTGCGGATGGCGGAGAATCGAGGGCGGCGCGGGGTGAGGCCGCGAGGGAAAGAAATCGCGAGGGAAACGAGAGACAGCGGTATCCCTCCGTGGCGAGACCTCCTCCCCCGTCGCGCCCGCGCCCAGCGCGAAGCGGCGTTCCCTCGCCCCAATTACCGTGCCCGGCGCGCAACGCCTATACCATCCACGTAATTTGCATCCGACCTCTATTTCCTCGCGGCGAAACGCGACGCTGCGTGGCACTCTCGATTATCCTGAACAACGACGTCCAGGAAATGTTTTTGAACCGATCGCGTCCAAGGGAGATGCGAACGATATGTTTCACGAAATCGTTCTAGAGGTATCGACAAAACATAAGCAGCGTCGCGTGGACCACGCTTTTTAGTGTACACTAAGTATTCGAGATGATTCATTGCCGTGATTAACTTCCTCTACCCTGCCTAACACGTATATGCGGAGGGTGGAGGAGGCGAAAGAGGATGATGGCTTACTCACGAGGCACGAGAAGGAGGCCAGCGACGGGCTGACATCGACTCCTGCAGGATGACGACCGACGACCCACGAGCATCCTTCCGTTCGTCTCTTCCTCTCGCGCCCTTCCCCCGCTTCCACCCTCGAAACTCCTCGGACTTCCGGCGATGGATCCGCAGGACCCGGGCGATCCTCCCCGTTGTCGTCGTCGTTCAGGCAACACCCACTTTCTCCCCTGGCCTCGTAACCTCGGATGTCACCACTCTCCTTCCGTCTCGCCGCCGTTCGCAGGGGCGCAGCGTTATCCTCCGCCGTCCTCGTCGTCGTCGTCGCCGACCACCACCACAAGCACTTCTACCATGAACCGCCGCTACCACCGCTGTCACCACCACCGCCACCGCTGTCGCCGTCGTAGTCGTCGCTGCCACAGCCACAACAAGCAACTAACGGCAGTAGTAGCGCCTGATGTAGTACTGTCAGACAGTTTCGCACCCCTTGCGTGTCACGTGAGCTCCCCGTTTCTCTCTCTCTCTCTCTCTCTCTCTCTCTCTCTCTCTCTCTCGCTCTCTTTTTCTCTCCCTCAATCCCTCTTCCGCCCTAGTATCCCCCCTCTCCGGCCTTTCGTCGGGCGCGAGCTATCGACTCACCCCCGTTGGCAATTAATCGCAGCTCGCCGCGCCGGGTCTCGCGTTTATGTCGCGATCGCGTCGGCCAGGAGGATCGTTCCGCTCTCGTGCGTCCGTCACATCGCGGTGCCGCGCCGCGCCGTTTGCGTGCCGTCGCGCGCGCAAAAACGGGGATACACGACGAACGTTGTAGGAGGAGTAAACCGGAGGAGCGACGCGCTCGTTCCGTCGCGGCCGTCGCAGTGGCCGGTGTGGTGGCTGCGCGGCGCGATACCCTCGCTACTTCGCCAGCGGAGCGGACCAGCCAGCCAAAACCAGCCTCCCTCCAGCTGTCCCCTACCACCCTGTTCTTACCCCGTCTCACCCCTCTCTGCCCCTCGCTGTACCGTTGCTGACTGCTTCAGACTGGTCGCTGACTGTCCTAGGAAGAGCGTACGCGTGACCGTGGCACGCGCGTGCCCCGGCATGCGCCCTCGATACGCGCCGCGCGAGCCTCTCACGGGTCGCGATCACCCTTGGCGTCATCTGGAGTTGCGCGAACACACTAGCCAGGGGTGGCTACCCTCTCTTCTCTTTCTCAAAACGGTACCTACACTCGCGTATACGAAGAGATGTTGTAGAATTAAAAATCTGAAAAATTGTTAAACTGAATTTAAATTCTAAATTCAGCTCTTTAAAAGCTGAGAGAATCAATAATTATTTTAGCGAATAAAAAATAAGATTACAGAACGCGCTAAATTAATAATGGTAATTCGAAACATTTTAATTCAAAATTTTATTTATCATGCAGTGAAAGAACTTTAATTCGCAAATGTTTATAACTATATGTATAAGCTTGCTTGCTAATAGAATTTTTCGTTTTACAATGTCGCAATGTAACCATCTGCATAAAACAAGAATCACTGATCTATTAGGCATTTTTATCTCCTCACGATACGTTATCATCATCTAGTAATGCAGTATAAATAATAATTATTACGATAAATTTAAATTTATCATGTAGTAAATTTGTAGTAAAATTATATGGATTAAAAGAAAAGTCTATGAATCACGACAAATGATGATAATGTCTTTCTTAATTTTACATTAAGATACAATTTTTATTTATGCAAATGTTCGTTCTCATTAACAAATCAAAATCAAAAGGTCTGTGACCGATGAGACAATTTTAAATTAATCGTTCGACCTATCGACCTCTAATTATATTGCGATGACAATTTGAAAGTCTCGAGTGTCGCGCGAAGACGGTGCTGTATCGCTCGAGCGGGAGCTGCGGGAGCAAATTGAACCGACGGGGGAACCTTGATAAGCTGCCATGATACTTCCAGCAGGTCTCTCTGCTTGCAGCAGCGCGATCGGTTAGGCAGAACAGTGTCATGGCGCGACAACGATGACCGGGAGTGTGTTCCTCGTCGACGAATCCAGTACGAAGGCCAGTATGTTGGGCGGATTTCGCTGCAACAGTGCTTTCGTGACAATAATCCTGCTCAATGTTATCGTCTTCCAAAGCATCGTATGTGAGTTCACCTAGTTATCGCGGTTTTCTCGTTGCCACGAGTAACCTACGACCATACCGTCCGCATCCACGCGTTTGACAACACGAGTAAGCGAGTCGGCGCGCGCACGACGCATGTTTGGCACGAGATTCGACTATCGTTCAGTCTGATTTTTTTCTTATTTTTAGTTAAATGATAGCTTTATACACTTTCTTTCGCGTGAATTAATTAACAGAAGTGTAGAAATTAAAAAAATTACGAGACCACCGTGTAGTAAGATTATTACCTAAATATGCATCGCAACATGATCAAATTGTGATAAAATTTGAGCGATTACATTATCAAGGGATTCTGAACAAATGTTTTGAATGACGAGAGATACGAATCGCTCTTGACTTTAATACATTTGAAGTTGTTCTGATAAAATCATCAATATTGTAATAATCATAATTTCAATCAGAGAGGATCCTCTCCGATTTCAATAAGCAGATCGCGGAGAAAAGAGAAATTACGGTTGCATAAGTGGTGCTACGCAATATCCACGCTCTGTCCGTAGTATCGCGATTACAAGCAATTTGTACAGCATATTCGCAAGCGCGGATTATTGTCGGTTACGCTGAAACGCCGTCCCTGGTGACGTCATAATACCTTGGCTATTTATAATGCGCGCCGCGTCTTCGTAATGACTCGCCTTTCCCTCGAATTCCTTTCACGCGTATATCATTTTCGCCGTTTATTGCGATACGTCATCACCGCGAGTTTCGGGCGAATCGAATTGTAGGTATCAAGTAAACGATCGTTTACCAATAAATAACTCCGACTGTCCTTTCACGCAGATTATCAGGAACACAGAAAATGGCAGGAGATCAGGTCCAAGCTGGAGCCGGTGATAGAGGATCTGCGGGACATGCAGGGGCTGACGGACAGCTTGCTGAAGAGGCTGGAGGCGACCGGCCTCTTCATCGAGAACGTCCGCGGACGGAACGACGGTAGCCGGCCGATGATCTACGCGATCACGCCCACATTCGCCAGGCCGGTGCAGAAGGCCGAGCTCACCCGTTTGGCGCAGACATTCCTCCACGTGCCCAACTTCCACTGGATCGTCGTGGAAGACGCGCCGCAGAAGACCGCCCTGGTCACCCGGTTCCTGGAGACCAGTGGCCTAATCTACACTCATCTGTCCGCGGCGACCCCGCCAAATTACAAGCTCGGCAGGAACGATCCGAACTGGAAGAAGCCGCGCGGGGTCGAGCAACGGAACGCGGCGCTAAGGTGGCTCAGGGAAAATCTCAAGACGTCCAACAAAGGCGTCGTCTACTTTGCCGACGATGACAATACTTACTCTGTCAAACTCTTCCGTGAGGTGAGGCTCCCCTGCTGAGAAGGATGGTTTCCCTTAGATAAGATCAATGTTATAACGCGATCATTTTTGTGACACTTTAATTATTTTTTGTTCTCTCCTCCTTTATATAATGTTTTTTATTTTCAGATGGAGAAAATACAAAGAGTCGGTGTTTGGCCGGTCGGTCTGGTCGGCGGTCTAATGGTAGAGAAGCCTATTTGCAACAACGCCACTAATAAAGTGATCGGTTTTAATGCGGCGTGGAAACCGGACCGGCCGTTTCCGCTTGACATGGCAGCCTTTGCCATTAATCTCGAGTTATTACTCGAGCACAAGGACGCTTGGTTCTCGTACGACGTGCAAGGTGGCTACCAGGAGAGCGAGATACTTAGGCAAATCGTCACGAAGGATCAATTGGAGCCACTGGCGGACTGTTGCACGAAGGTAATCGCAATGATCGCAAGTGAATCGAGAGATTTATTTGGAATTTTGATAAAAGAAATTAAGAAATACTCGGAAATCACTTCGAATCTTGTATATTTTTAGGTGTACGTGTGGCATACCCGAACGGAACCGCCGTTACTGAACGTTGAAAACATATTGATTAAGAAAGGTAAGCGTTCCAATGCCGGCATTGAGGTATAAACACAGAAGAGAAGGTTGTGCTCGTCCACATGCAACGCTGGCGTGCTCTCTTTTATTTCCTTGGAAATCGGTGATCTAATTTTATATTATAAATTTGTTGATATTGATATTTTTTAAGCATAGAAAAGATATAGGGCCAACGAAGGGTATAGACGCTCTTTTCATCGCGTCTTGCATATGTATACACATATAGAATAATACATTGCCATTCTGTATAGCTGCTTGTAGTTGCAGATGTAGTAGCGATGATAAAGAACAAATATTATCGAATAATTCTAGTGAATTATTTTTCTTTGAATCTCGAAGAATTATGTGATATTGCGATGTGCTTTGGACTATTAATTCGCATGTGCCACGTTTCGTCGTAACGAATCAATGATCTTTCGCTATCCTTATGACAACCAGAACGAGTTCTATCTTGTTATATCGCGTCTTTACCCATTTTTATAAACAAAATAAAAAGTTGTATCTAATGACTATTGTAATAAAGTTTTTAGAGGAAAACTAGAGGGAGAGAAGAGAGAGACGCGGGTTTTCATCCCTGTCGATCCATCCATCCTCACCTTGAAAACGTTTTTTCACTTTTATTCGAGAGCACGATTTCTTGTCGCGTACAGAAAAAGCATTACATAAAAAATACGCCTTACATCTACGGAACTTTAATACTCGTAATTATCTCCAGATCGGAAGATGCGCACTAATACTTTTTTTTTGTGGGAAGCTACTTGTTAAGGATTTACAGGCTTTTGGCAACGGATACAAAATAGCTGGAGGTGCTAGAAACGATGACGCGTCTCGCTCGCCGATGCGAAGTCGCCGCGCGACATCCGTGAATGTCCCGCGACTCGTTTATTTTCCATGTACATATATATCTTTTTTTTGTATAATATATATATATTTATTTATATGTATTCATTGACTTACGTACTAATAAGTACTATGGTATTTGGCAAATTCTCTCTGTACGTAAAAAAGCTATCTGCACGGAAGGCGTGTTCGCGAACACGAGGAAGCGTCGCCGGCTTTCGACGTATCAACAGGTGCAATGATATAGTATCCGAACGTTCTCGCTTCTAGGATTTTCTACATTCTTGTTCTTTCCCTCTCTACGGTTCTACATAGAAATCTTCGCTTTGCAAAATTAACGACCGGCCGTAGTTAATTCAAAATTTAATTTCAACGATAATTCGCTTATTTTCGAGAAAGGAGAGACGAAGGAGGTCGGTTGCTCGAATTGCATTCACAGCTAAATCGATGTTCGTAAAATCTTTCTGGAATCTGCGCGCTAGAGCAAAAACATTTTCGAATTATCTGAATTTATCATCGCACCTGTCCACACAGTAAATGTTGTTACAACACGTTATTCCTCGTCGGATGTGAACCGCCCATAGCTCGAGTTTCCGCGAGCACACGCATTCCGCGACTCTCGTGTGCATGGTTTCTCTAGAACCTACCAAAACTTCCCTAAGGATTTATCCTCGAATACGTCTTACAATTAAGGGAGAAAACGTTTACAAGCATTTACAAAAAACTTATCACATTTTAAACTGCGTTTCTTTCTGCAAAAGCCATCTTAGACATTAGGACAAGAGCGGTACGTTTCCTTTTACTCGCTATAATCGGATATATTAATTATATGGCAGCTTTCTGGATGTCATGCACGCGCGCACACACACACTCTCTCTCGCGGATCATAAAATCCGAATGGCAAGTGTGAATCTGCAAGGGACTTGAACACTCGCCACGGCAAATTCCGTTTGCTTTTGATTACCCTATACATATACGTATTCGGAGAGACTTAGCGTCAAGATGACACGTTGAAATTTCGTCAGAAATTTATTATAATTCGTCCCGCCTAATATCCGCTCTATGCTGCGAGTAGAGTGTTTACTTCCTACGTTTTCTTTATCACCGTATGAACAACCGCAATTGATCACCGTAATCATAGTGACTTCTGCAATGTCAATACAAATACAGTGTCGCAAGAGCCTATCTTCATCTTGTCTTCTCCAACTTCTAAAGAACGAAGTTTTTTTTTATCCTTAGAAAAGGAAGAATTTTTTAGAAATGTAATAAAACATAAAAAAAGGTAATAAAAAAAAAGATGAGCTGCTCTTACTCGTCTCACGAGGTAACTGTAACGTTAAACACATACGTTACACTATCACGATTAAAAAAAAAAATAAAGTTAATTGAGAGCTTATCTCACTCGAGGTAATATGAAGTAAAGGTATAAATATACAAGGGTGGTTATGATTATATAAATGTACGAAGAACGAACGAGAGCTCGCTACAAGGATATGCGAGATTTTAAGTAGTAATTCACTCATAACTATAAATGGTCACACGCATGATCGTAAGACTCAACAGAGAACACACGCGCGCATTGGGAACAACACAATGCGCGATCGGCGACTTAAATGATGAAAAAGATGCATTTCGATAGTTGGCTTTCAGCTACCTGAACGTTGGTTTTCCGTTGATTTGACAATATGAAAGAAGTCAGTCTTCTCGGATTTAAAAAGAACAATGACAAACTGATTGAACGTTACGATCACGGAGTCGGGAATTTACGAGAATAAAAGCGTGTCGCGAATACATATCGCGTATGTACGTGAAAGCTATCTACCGTTTACGTCTCTCGATTGACGAGAGTCGCGCCTAATCGAAAGACGTGGAAGAAGAATGAGGTATGAGCGTGAGAGGGAAGAGAGAGACGTTATATAGATTGTTCAAGGTGTATGTACAATTTCGAAGGTTGCCGCAAAATCGCGCACCTTCGTTTAGAAGAGAGAGTTTTCTCTGTTGGCGGAGTATAAAAGCAACACTCACATTCCTAAACATTCTGAAAATAGAGAGCGGCCCGTTTACATGACTTTTACAAGGTGCGATTTTGTTTTTTTTTTATACGAACACTGGAGACGGGCGATTCAGTGTCGCAATTAAATTGAATCAAAACTAAAATAAAATTTTATCGCACTAAAATAATTGCAAAATCAATACATTGAAAGTAAACGTAACAGTTGATAAATAAATAAATAAAAAAAAACATTTCATCTCTGAGTCAAAGACTAGAACGACGATAAATTTTGCTCTCCATTTTCATCTTGTCCAAAAATACCTCAATTCTTTCATTACCGGAATTAAGATATGTCTTGTTGAAAGATTTCCAAAGAATCTTAAAATCTTAGAATCTTTTCCTAATCGAATATTCAATGTTAAAAAGATTAAAAAGAATCTTTTCGTAATGACGAATTGAAGTTGCCTGGATGTAACAATGAAGAATACGAGCGTTGCATTTTCACGCAATTGTACTTTTTTTAAAAATGCAATATTCTTTTCGAACACAAAGTTTTTTCTTTTCTTTTTCTTCTTCACGCGCAACAGAGTACGACTTTCCGAGCGGCCTTCTTGAAGCCGCGCGCGACAAAGGACGCGATACTACTACCCAGCGTACTAGACTGTGATAATCTAAAAGGTGCCTCGAAGCGTTCATCTAAATCGATCAGTCGACCTCTACCAATTGCACGACGAATTTTTGTACATTCTTCTTGCCAGCTCCTTCTTCTTCTGTTCGCACGAGCGATCTCTATACCTGTACTCCTCGTTTCCTTGCATTATACGTTACAATTATATCCGTATAATTTCCTCCTAAGAGCAACTACCGTGAGTAAGCTTCGCTTACTTCCGTACTTCTCGTTTTCGTAAGCTATCGATTATCCGTGCTCCTTCGCATGCTTCGGCGAGTATACACTGACGGGACAAAAGAGTTAAAGACTTGCTTTTATGCTCAAGGTAACAAACCTTCCAAACGTGACATATTCGTCGACAAAAACTACCTCGAATCCTCTTTTATGTTATTTTCGAGCGATCTTGCTACGGTCAAAGCGCTAGCAAAATACTGCGATCAAATTGTTTTATTTTCCCTTTTTTTTTTTCACTTTAATCGTATCTTAACGTGTTTCACAGCTAAAAGTGCAGCGGAGGATATGTCAGGTTTTCAAAGTTTGCGCCTCTCTTGAGCGGTTTAGCTTACCTTACACGCGAAATCAGACGTGCAGCGAGAACCTCGTGGCAAAGTAATAAGCGAAGGATAAGTTCACCGACGGGTAGGGAGCGCTTCCAGGGGCTTCTACGAGGAAGTGTAGGCGGCAAGTGTATCGCGGTACACGAGGTAAGAGGTTTTTCGAGAGGGAGGAAAGGCGGGTCGGTGCGCGACCGTGAAACCGCGCAACGTTTTGACGGCGAAACGAAAAACGGAGGCTCGGGCAGAGAGACTCGGCGCTGAACGGCGCGAGAGGAACTCGCGGGCGAGGCTCTACCTCATCCGGAAAAAATTTCCCAGCGGAAGCCGAATCGCTAAGATCTCTCGTCCTCCAAGCGAACGAGCTCGTGAACGTACGAACGATGATCCCCGCTCTGCGCGTCCATCTTTTCGTTTCTTGCTTTTTCATTTTCTTGGGTTTCTTTTTTTTTTTTTTCGAGAACACTTCAGCCGGAAACCGCGCTGCGTTTCCGGAATGATTTTTACAATCTAGTACGCCGGAAGAATATCTAGACGGCCGAGTCCTTGCCGACGAAGCCGGTCTTGGAGACGGACCTCTTGCCGTCGAAGGTGATGGAGGTCTCCCGGCGCAGTCCGGAGTCGATGATCGGCGTGATCTTCTTCTCCTCCTTCAGTGGCTCCTTCTCGTCTCTGCAAAAGCGTCAAGATAACATTTGTTGGAGCACCATGATTCCCGACGTCGGATTAACTTCTAATACCGGGCAGAAAAAAAAAATTAGAAAAAGGAGAGAGCATGTTCCATATGCGGCGCGTGGTGCGACATCGAATATACACGTCAGGCATGCTGTCACTCGCAAAGTAAAAGAACTGTCGCAGCGAGAGAGGCTTCGGAGAAACGATGCATCTCCCTCTGCACGGTTCTATATATGCCACTTTCGATATCGAGATCGACAAATCCCGGAGGGATCTGCGTTTATTACGATTCTGAGGGAGACTTGTAGCTGGTCCAAGCAAGGAACAGCGTTCAATTTTCTGAGCGTGCACATGCACAAAGTACACAAAAGAATAAAAAAGAATTTCTATTTCTTTTTTTTAATCTTTTTAAAGTAATAATGTATGAATGTAATCAAGTAATTATGCTATATTTTTTTATACTTTAAATAAAACTTTTTTAATTCTAAAAATATCTTCTCACTTTTATTAATATATAACATATATATATATATTTTAATATATATATTTTAATATATAACATATATATATATACCTATATATTTTTTTATAACTTGTGCTTTGTATATGATGCCTGCGTTTTTTTTTGTTGAGGAAATAAAACTCAAACGACCGTTAAACGAAATCCGTGAATACCGTTAAAAATATCGAATCATTGAACGGGACAGCTATTTTCTTCATTTTCAGAAACAACGAAATATTTAATTGAGCTCTGAAATAATTAGAGAAAAAAATAAAAAAATATATGAGATAAAAATGCTTATAAAATTCCATATTTTTTAAATAATTATATAAATTATGTCTATTTTCGTTATATTTTCGTCCAAATCATAATATATTATAATCCAAAGAATCGATATTTTTGCCCTTTCCTCGGCACATGATATTTAATAATTTTCTTATTTTTTTGTTAATTTACTTCCGTTCAAGATATATCGAGTTGTTATAGTGAGCGTTATACTCGCAGTGCTATTTGCGCTTCATTCAAAGCACAAAACTAGCAGGTCGAGAAGAAGACTCGCATACTCGCATACTTGTTGCAACATTGTGCGGTGACGGAACGGACTAGAGAGAATTAAGGACAAAGTGAGCGTTATATTCCAAAGTGTATCGTGCATGCGGCATAGCCAAAGCTCAGACGAGTAACAGCAATCTCTAGGCGCGTTATTACGAAATAGCACTATAAAGCGTGTCCAGTCGAGGGCAGCATTCGACACTAAAATAACAATCTAGCGAACATGATATCGAGTTTACAAATGAAAATTTATTCGAAATTAATTTATTCACGAGTAAGAACTGTAGGCAAGAAAAATTACTATATTTTCTCTTTTTTTTAGACTATTTCTTTCATATAAAACATTTAAAAAATTCTTTTTATCTCTGATTCATTACATTAGTCGCTAAATTTCTGGAACATATAAAATATATTGATAAAGTAATCAGCAGTAATTTTTTTTTTAATTTCACGTTTACTAATTTTTTTTTTACATTATGTATGAGTATTCCCGTGCGCTTTTGCATTTTGCTGAAAAAGGTGAAAAACGAGATACGCGATCCATTGTATGCTACACGGCCCTCGTCGAACTTATCCATAATCCATCCTATTGGACGTTAAAAAAGGGAGAGATATAATGTGCCATTGCCTATGCGTAGCCACGACTGGATACGGATGCCGGGCGTAGCGCAAACGTGTAAAAAATAAACGTGTTGCAGGTACGAGGAATGGTTGGCGGCACAACGAATGCGTTCAACGGATCGAACGTGTTTTCTTCCATGCTCGTCGAATTCTCTTTGATGCGTATCGAACGATTTCCCTTACGAGGACGGTTCATCAACGCCGAGTCGGACGAGTTTCAGCGGTGGGATACCGTCGTCGCTCGGGGAAGTCAGGAAACTAAAGTATGCAGAAAGAGAATAAGAGAAAAAAAGAGAGAGTGAGAGAGAGAGAGAGAAATAAATTGGAAAAGAAAGATAAAAAAAGATAGAAAAAAAATGTCATGCAAAGTGAAAAGCTGTGTCGGAAAAGCCCCTTCGTGAGGGGCCATGCTTCTTACTGATTTCGCTTATATATCGTTTTCTCTCTTACATGGCTGTGTGTTTGACCAATCTAATGGTATTTTTTCCACTACCCGAGTCTGGGATGGCCGTGACCCCGGCGACATTGGCCATTTTTTGGTCGCAATACGGCAATGGAAACCGCCAACCGTAAAGACTACCGATAAAAAGAAAAAAAAGAGAAAAATACGAGAGGTGTCAAAGTGTTGTCTCTGTGTTGTCGGCCGGCGGGCTACTCTCTAACATTTATAGTGTATCGCGACTCTACTACCGTCATCGCACTCCACTGTCGTCCCTTCTGTCGCGCGAGACGCGATTATGCGGGGACAAATCGCACGATCGCGCCTCGTCGCAGAATCGCGCGGGTAACGCGGGAGAGAATTCCCGATGCACTCTGACACGCATTTAAATCCAATCGAATTATCGGTGAAAGGAAGAAGAAACGCAGACTCGACGGGTCGAGAAAGATCGAAGAGACAAAAGAAAAAAAAAAGAGAAACCGTTCCGAACGTGTGAACGAAAGTTCAATGACGGGTGCAAAGTTCGATAACATAATAAAGTAGCGCTAGACTTGCCAAAGCACAATGTAGAATACATATGTAGTAGTATAAACGAGATGCGGTAGATTGTAAGAAGTATATATATATATATATCCAAAAAAGAAGAGTATCTCATAATACATATATATTCAGAGTACCGTTGCGCAAATTTTGAGTATTCGGGGAGAGAGAAACTCACCTGCCGAGTTTCGTGTCCTCCTCGTCGACTGGTTTCCGCCGAGATCGTTCGCGCACGTAGTTGATAATTCCTAAAACGCAAAATTTAGACAAATATTATTGCGGCAAAATGACATTAACAATTACACCGGAGAGATGTACAAGATATTTCAATATTCGTAAATTCGTGAAACGATGTCAATTATATCGCGTTTAAATTTCTATATCTCCGCGCGCGTTTGACACATTTTTTTATGAGTCACTTAAAAAAGCATTATGTTAAAAAGCTTTTATCATGTTTTAACTGATGCAATTTTCGTTTTAATATTAAATCTGTTCCTAAATTTGTCAAAATTACGTATTTTCACAGTCGAACTCCAAAAACATAAATCGAAATGACATAGTTAGCCGTAATTAGAGTTAATCAGAGAGCTTCATTATTGAACGACGTGATTGGCACATAACTACGTACGTGATGAACGTAAATTAACAATAATCGCGAGCGCGAATTGAACTTCGATATTTCCCATTGTACAAACACATAACGCGAGAGTGGTCTATCAATGATCTGCTCAAGCGGCGGCTTGATGATTTAACGCTGGCCTCACCTGTCTTGCGCACGCAGCAGCAGGTGGCATCGATGATGGTAAAGATGATGAATATCGTCGCGAGGACAATGCCGATTATGGCTCCGCTCGATAACAACGGGCCTTGATGCTGCAGCACGCTGGTATCTACACCTTGAAAGACGATAAAAGCATATCGTTTTTAAACGTATCCAACGTGTGGCACGCGTGTGTATATGTATATATCGCAGTCCGTTAGTGCAAAAGCGATACTGAACGATGTTTGGTGATGGTTAACAATCGGTTGTATTTGTACATACGTCGGTGATATACACGTCGTGGAAAGCGGAAGGGTGCGATAAGACATGCTTGAGAAAACGTACTGGTATGTTTTTTTTTCTTCGATCTAACAGAGAATCATTATTGCAGTATTACAATTATTACATTATCATTATTATATTACAAATTATTAAATAATTGATATGAAAAAATTATCAGTCAATTTTACGACGCCAATAGTTGCAATTTTGTAGCAATTGTAACATGGTAATCGCCCGTTTAAGCTTAAAATACACGATTCTGCAATAGCTAACATTGCAGATAATTAATTTAAAATAATTATTGAACGTTAATAAACTATTAGATATTAAACAGTGTTATTAAACAGTATTAGCGGTTACATCATTAATGTCAATATATTATTGAATAAATGTATGATATAATGTTAAACACACGAGATAAAATTCTCTCACGTCGATACAGTAATCAAGATAATTACTTCTCGAGTGTCGACCGCAGTGTCGCATCACCAAACACGTTCCACGTAACAATCATATTTTAGTCTCCTGAAAAGAAACAAGATCTCGGCGGGGTTGTATGGGGGTGGGGGTGGGGGGATGCGGCAAAAATCCGTCTTTATCAAAGGAGGAAACCAAAAACCAGAAGGCAACAACGACAAGACATACAAGTGGTGATTGTCGGTTAAGGAGACACAGAGTGTGTATGTATAAGTGTGCAAATGCGTGTGTGTATATGTATGGTTTGTGTATATGTGTATGTTACACACCGTTAATGGATCGCGATAATTAGCACACTGCAGAGCGTAGAAGCGATAGAAAGTCTCGTCTCGCAACATCACACACAACACGAGCTGTGCTAAAAAGCCTAAGGGAGAGGGAAGGAGAGAGGAAAAGCGGGGACGAGGGAAAAAAAGCTCATTCACTAGCCTCCCACAAACCGATGTTAGTCTCTACGCGCCACTAGTCTAAAAGTGCTACCTCCACACAAAAAGCCCCTCCACTGTGAGTGCCTCGCATTTAGTTCTGTCTCATTCATTCGATCTCACTCACTCTCTCTCTCTCTCTCTCTCTCTCTCTCTCTCTCTCTCTCTCTCTCTCTCTCTCTCTCCCTCTTCCCTCATTCGCTCGCTGCCAGTCTTCAACAGAGCTCTCAACTACGTTAGTTAGCGGCCAACATCTTGCACTTGCTTGTACTTTAAGGGGATATTTACCGTTTTTTTCGGCGGCGCGCGTCGCTTCCCGTGGTTTATTTTTATCATGATAATTATGAAAATAAAGAGGCGATAATGTATGATAAGCGAAAAAATAAACAAGACCGCCGAAAAAGAAACCATCTCAAATTGCAGACGCGCGGCCAAAAGGGCCTCTCTCAGCAGCTGATTCCCAGATTAAAATCCGTCCCGTCTCCTTCCTTTTGTCTCGTCACTCCGTGGCTCGGGAAAATCGATCAATTTTGGCACGGTATACAATTTGAAGGTGGCTTCTCCGCTGGCTCGGATTTGTCCATCCGTATTGTTTTTTTTCTCCTTAGACACTCACATATATTTCTTCTTTTTTTTTCGTCGTTCCGTATTTACAATATTGAATGTTTTCGCACAGGAAAGAACGAGTTTATACGAGTTTATCCTCCTCATAAATACGAACATAGTAGGCACTAGGCTAGTACATATCCTTAGACGTATGTAAATGATTTATCTACCTATCTATCTATCTATCTATGTATATTCTTTATATTTATTTATATATATATATGTTTGTACATATACGTTTATATCGTATATACGTGTATCATGTTACGTGTGTGTCTGTATGTATGTTTGTGTATCTGTGGTGTGTAAATATATACCCTTCGGAAGATACGAGCGGAGTCCACGGTACCGTAATAAAAAATAAAAAAAAAGGGAAGAAAACGGAGAAGAACACAAGGGGATCCCACTACGCGCGATCATCGGACGTCTTGTGAAAACAACCGGAGCGGCAACCGAAGAACCGAACGGCCGCGTTGAAATTCGATTTCGCATTCCGGTCTATTTTCGATCCGTGTCGTAACGTGCCGTTAGCCTCCGAGTCGGCGCCATTGTCTCTTAAACCTGGACAATCCGTGTACCTTCTGCAACCCGAAGTAAACAGCGGCACGTACACTACCCTTTTCTTCTTCCTCCACCGGAAAAAAAAACTGCGCCGTTTACGGATTACGGAAAAAAATAACGCGTCAAAAAGGGAAAAAAATTAAAGTGTATTACAACTTTTATTAACACTCTGGTTTCCGTAAGCAACTTGAGTGTTTTTCTTTCTCCGAGACGCAAAAGTGTTTCAGTTTTGTAGAGATTCAGTTTAACGGCGCTGGTAAATCTCGGAAATCCGAACCTCATAATGATTAAACAAGATAACAGAATAGAAAAAGGCTGAAAGAATCCGTAAAAAATGCACTAATGAGCTGGCGGAAAGGCTTTTCCGAAGACAGAGACGGCTGTTTATTATTAACCGAGCCACACGCGAGCGAAACGCGATTTTGTACGTGAACCTTCAGGCACTCACTTATAACGTCTGAAGAGTTAATATATTCCGTTATAGTATAATCAGTTAATTAAGGAACAACAGTGGGAGAAAATACAGACTATATATCTAAATACATGATCAAGAAGATAGAAAAGATAATACGGCATAATAAAAGTTAATAATTTAAAACGGCATTGAATACACCAAAAGGCGTTATTTAACCACGAGTTTTGAAGGTGCAAATCTATCAACTGGTGGAACAACATATAAAAACGCTTATAATATCTTTTATCAATATTCTAATATATGTATTAAATGTATATTAATAATGTATTAAATATATCAAAAGTAAACCCTTTTATCATCAAGAAGAAAATCGTTAGTAAATTTAATTTTATGCAAATAAATATCGTTTCTCGTTGAATAATATTTTAACTGATTTACGTATTTCGACAGATAAAATGACATTGACGGAAAATTTATTAAACGATTAAAATCTGAAAAAAATTACTTAGTAAAGCGATTTTAATATACTTTGCCAGTGAAGGAGTTAAAATAACGCCTTTTCGCTGCGCGATTTCGAGGACTTGATACTGCGAAAACCATGCGCGGCCCATCGGAAATAGATCGTGAAGAATATCGCGCTTATGTTTCTGCGTTTCTCGCCCTCTCGTCGTTCCAGTTCTCCGGCGTTTATCCTCTCGACGCGGTTTTCTTTAACGCGACGGCTATTTATAAGCGACGCGGCCGGTGGCGTGGCACCCGGCACCGCCGGAAATTTCCACCAACGGATCCGCGAGAACGAAGACCTATTCCGTCGCTCTTCTCGTTCGCGTTTCCTTGTTTCTATCTCCCCCACGAAGTCGCGCGTGGGTACTCGAGGATGGACCCGGCGCATCAGCCAGCGCAAACACACGGGCTCTCTCCCGCTCTCGAGCGATTCATTTGTACGCGCGCGGAGAGATTATCTCCGTATAACGAGAAACACTCCAGCTGCTGCAGCCGTTTGTTGCTGCCGGCAAACTTCTTGCTTCAACACAGGCACGTTCAGATTGCGTGTATATATTTGACGTGTATTATTTCGGCGCGCCTCTTGAGAAACGTTTTGCGAAACGCGACTATGTATTTATACCGCAACTTTGATAGCATTGAAAGTGACAATCGCGGCGTGAGTAACAAAGGCAAAGAAAGACGCGTTTCAGAAATTCAGTTAAACAAATTGGAATCAAGAAAGAAATTTTGAGAAGTGCCTCGGACCGAAATAAAAAAAAAGACAATTGCTGATTTTATTAACGAAAAATCGTTATTTGTTTCATTACTCTCGAATTACTTCACTCGACTGCACGCCGCAGTATTTCTTTGCCGCAAGATAACTTCCATATAATCGTACAATCGGCCCTACAAAGCGAGTCAATCGGAATAATCCCGCATTCCCCGCTAATTGATTCCGTCCGCAATCGCGTCGTCCTCGAGATGATGATGCCGGTGCTCGAAGCGTCCGGGTGAAAGCAAACGCTCCGCGCAAACAATGAGTCGTCGTCGTCGTTCGCCGAATGGAGCATTTATACGCTCGCAATTTATCCGGGGATGTGGTGCGGCGGCAGTTTGCGCGGAGAGAGGGGGATCGATCCTCGAGCACAAAACACAAAGCCGCCTTGATTTCCCGGCAGAGACAATTCCGGCCGCGGCGCAAGAATCGAGAATCGATTGATCCTGCGGATTGCGGTGGGGTCGGTCGCGTGCGCGTGTCTCTCTCTCTCTCTCTTTCTCACTCTCTCTGGATTCGAGGCTCTCCACAAACACCGGCCCCGTCACCGTTCCAGGCGGAGGAGAGAAGGAACGAATCTCGCGCGCACACACGTGCTCACGTAATTAGTCCGCGCGAATCGCGACACGTCGAACAATCGCGCATAAAGAGCCGTTTGTTCGTGTGACTATAGCTATAGTATCCCCCCCCCCCGCATAACGCGGATTTAACGTTAAATTGCTGTCTGCTTCCGAATTGCTGTAACCTTTCGGTACGAAGAAGCTACACAATGCGTTCCGTATTCTCGTCACGAAAATTCGCTGCAAAATTTCACCATCTTAATTTTAATCTCTACGAGGAAGACATCCGTATTGTTGCAAAAATGAATTAAAATCAATAGACGCGATGTTCGTATACAAAATAAAAATAGAGCAGCAAAATTGAAAAACGTGAAAAAATATACGTGGCGCAGAGAGACGATCAATTCGCGTTAAATGCGGGCAATAGAGTTTACAATTCTCTTTCCGATATTGACAAAAATGCACTGGGCTTTGTGACAGAACGTTGCAACTCTGTTTGGCAAAAGTGGAATAACGGAAGACCGTGTGTCTTTGCCGAAGCAGCGCGGC